TGATCTCACTCATTTATGGATAATAAAGACCATTATAAATGATGAGCAAAACTAGATACAGAGGCAGAGCAGCATCAAACAGACTGTCAAACTATAGCAGGAAGGCCGGGGAAGGTTGGGGGGTGGGGGGTAAGAGATCAACCAAAGGACTTGTATGCATGCATATAAGCATAACCAATGGACACAAGACACTGGGGGTAGGGGATGCCGGGGGAAGGTCAAGGGGGTAAAAAAAGAAGACATATGTACCACTCTTTGTAATATTTTAAGCAATAAAACAAAATTTAAAAAAAATAGTAAAAAAAGAAAAACTTAAAAATAAATAAATAAATAAAAGCTATGGCTCCCTCAAATGAGCTTCCAGCAAATGAGGAAGATAGCACTGCCAACTGGGAAATAAGGGAGGATGTCACAGCTTCTGATTCCCAACCTGGGACCCAATATGTGTATTTATCTTCTTTTAGGCAATTCTACTCAGTTCCAATGATAGATTAACCTGGCCTTGGCTGGGTAGCTCAGTTGGTTGGAGCATCATCCTGATACACCAAAGTTGTGGGTTCAATCCCTGGTCAGGGCACATACAAGAATTAACCAATGAATGCATGAATAAGTGGGACAACAAAATGATGTCTTGATGTCTCTGTCTCTCTTTCACTCTTAAATTAATTTTAAAACAAACTAAACAAGGACAGATTAACCTCCTTATATCCAAAAGTCAGCTGTCCATTTTCCAATTTTGACCTGTTCTTCTCACATTCTCTATCTCAAAGGACAGCACCCAGCGGCCTAATCCAAAATCCTGGTCATTATATTGACTCCTCCCAGTGGGTTCCTCCAATGGAGACATTCAAGCACACATCCTAACAAAATTCATTATTTCTTCTTCATGCCCATACTTACATGTAAGCTTACTTATTTATTGAAGGTACGGGGAGGTTGTTAGCTCAGTATGATAGGCCATTTGTAGATATAAAATGCATAGTGATCCTTTGTTCAGACTCTCACTGCATGAGATATACTTCAATTTCAGCACAAATTTTCTTTCAAAGAAATACTATGTATAACCTTGGACAAAGCACTTTACTTTTAAGTCCATACAATTGCTCCTCTATAAAATGATCTCCAAGTCTTTACACTATTTACACCACAGATTCTAAAAGGTCAAGCAACAACAACAAAATACAGTGGGGCCTTGACTTACGAGTTTAATTCGTTCCGAGACCAAGCTCGTTAAGGAGCTCGTTAACTCAAATTACTCTATCAACTCAATGCAAAAAATCGGCCAAGAGACAGCTGGTATCTCAAAAAACTTGTTAGTCGGGACACTGGTAAGTCAAGGCCCCACTGTATATGAGAACATACAGGGAACAAAAGAAATAATAATGGCTGTTCCAAAGAAAGGAATTATCACTAGGCACTAAATGGTGATAAGATTATTGATATGGTTTAGAATTGGGAACTCCCTATCCTCTCACTCCAACCCACTCTGAGATCCACTTCTCTGGTCCCACCTATGACATTGTGGACGTGTGGACATGTGGGTAGACAGACCCAAATCCTCCATTATCAGCAGAAATCATCATCCATGCCAAATGTGCATTATGAAATTTAGTTTCTTTCTATCAGACTACTCACACATTTCTATCATATTCATTACCAACATTACATATGTACAATGCATAAAATATCAGGAACCTATATAGTAATGAATTGATCTCATGAGAGGCAAAAGCAATTGTAGTAACAAGACTAAGAACACTATGAAGAAATATTTACAACATATTTAGAAGTTTGTTCAAGTGAGATAAAAACTGACAGAAGTTTGCTCAGTAACACCATTCTCCTACATCAGATTCTGAAATCCTGAATCACAGTCACTGAGCAAGGTTTAGGATCATGTAAAAGACACGCCTGATTAACTCCTGGACATCTCATTTCTTGGCCATAAATCCTATTACTGACTGCCATAAAACTTGCCAATAAAAGATAATTTATGCTCAGTGTACAGAAGCTAATGTATCTGTAGAAGTAGAGACCAGAAAATGAGAGCCATTCACACTCCGCATGGTTAGCGAGACAGACATGACTCTGAGCGCCCAACAGTCCTTGCAGGGAATAGGCCTGCCTGGTAACTAACGTCAGGGAGCTTCGTGTCTACACTGTCTCTCTCCAACCTCATAAAATCTCCTGTGCATGAAAGACCATGATTCTTCTTAAGAACACATTTTTGGAATTAAGGGGGAGATGCTTACTTTTCAGGGAGGATTTATAATGCATTTTTAATTTTCTATTTAAAACGGCAGATTAAACATTCCTTCAAAGTAAATGCTAACTACTGAGGTTTTCACTCATAATGATATTTGATCCATAGTAATGAAACATACCAAAACACAATATAAAAAGACATTATATACCAAAAAGCCAATCAACTGAAAAAGTCTAAACATTTTAACAAATTTATACAGATCTGAAACTACACTATTGTTTCCTTGTTTTAAAATCCAATTTGTAATTAACAAAAATAAGCCACAGAAAGGGGACTGAAGAGAGAATGGAGATGAAATTCTTCAGGCTGGAATAACCTAAACAATTTTTTTTAATATATTTTATTGATTTTTTACAGAGAGGAAGGGAGAGAGATAGAGAGCTAGAAACATCGATGAGAGAGAAACATCGATCAGCTGCCTCCTGCACACCCCCCACTGGGGATGTGCCCGCAACCCAGGTACATGCCCCTGACCGGAACCGAACCTGGGACCCCTCAGTCCGCAGGCCGACGCTCTATCCACTGAGCCAAACCGGCCCCGGCTAACCTAAACAATTTTAAGTGAACTGCACCTAGACATCAGGTCAGTCCCAAATGACTACAATTGTAACCGTAATGAATGAAGGAAGACTACTTATTTATACAACACAGTTTCATGGGAGTCTCATGTGTGGACACTCAGATGATTTGAAGATAGGCTTTTTTAAGAAAGATCAAGAGAAGTACCTATCAGCCTCATGGTCTACGGCTATCCCAGCCTCTTAAGACACAGCACTAAAGTGTTTATCAGACAAACAGTTCCCAGAAGATGTCTCACTCCTCCTGCTATTACCTTCAATTTCAGACAACCTGTAATTATAGAACCAATTCTAGAAGACACTGTCCTCAAAAACAATACTCATAATAATTAACATTTATATTGAATCTTCCCACTTTTGAAGTATTTTAGCAAAACTCAATGATAATCTCATTGAATCTACTTGATAAAGATTTTGTTAGAGTTGAAGAGAACTCAGAGTTATTTTGGTTTAATTTAGGGCTAAGGTAACAAGGCAGGATATACCCTTAAGTTTATCCAAGATTTAGCTTAATTAAAAATAATATTGTGGAGATTAAAGCTGCTTAAAAATATCATAGACTATATGCAACTGTGTTTCCACTGAAGGTGACACAGGGCAGGGCCAGGTGGGCCTTTAAACACATGTGGTGCCACTGGCTTGAATCACTTTGCCATCATTTCCTATAGCAACTATTTACTCATCCTTAAATATTCTAGTGCAATGTGAGCTCAACAGAATGTACATTCCATGAAATAAAGGGGCTCTGTGTAGGTGGCTGCTGTATTCCTGGAGAAGTGCCTGGCATGTCGCAGGTGCTCAATAAATATTTGTTACATAAATGGAGCAAATAAAAGCTGAGTGAGTGCTTCTGTGAAGCCTTTCCTTACCACACTCTTGACCAAGTTATATAATCTTTCATCATCTTTATGTAGCAATGTTTTAATCTTGCTTTATATTTATACTAGAGGCCTGATGCACGAAATTCGTGCAAGAGTAGGCCTTCCTTCCCCCAGCTGCCGGCACCAGCTTCCCTCTGGCACCAGGGACCTGGACTTCCCTCTGGCTGCCAGCAGGCACCCAGGACCCGGGCTTCCTTCGCAGCCCCGGCTTCAACAAGAAGGTCATCGGGAAGGATGTCCTGTCTAATTAGCATATTACACTTTTATTATTATAGATTTTATAAGTGTCTGCTTCACTGAACATGGACTAGAGAGCAAAGATGCTATGTCACTATTTTTTTTTTTAATCCTCAACTGCCTAGCAGTGAGGCAGAAGCAGACATAACTGTTGACTACATAAGTGAACAGTAGAATTTGAAACTGAATCCTCAGCTCACCTTCCACATCTCAGAAGTGTTCCAGAAAGCAACAGTTCCAGACAATGCAAAGAACCAGAAAAAATGCAAATGTGGCTGAACAATGGTGAGCATACATTACACCCATTATATTAACCAAACAAATTGTAGGTAATGACTGCAGATGGAGCAGAAGCAAAACCGTAAATAGTTCATTACAATAAGAGGCAAAAAATAAAAAGTCTACTGTCTTTAAAAAAATGTTACCACATGATTATTTTTCAAACTAAAATCCACTAATCAACCTTATAAAACCTCATTTAATAAGAAGCCTGCTCTCAGCACTACATTAATAAAAATTTCCTCAATATTTATGATTGGAAATGAATGACATCATCATTAGAAATTTATTCATAGGCAGTGAAATTAATAAAAAGGCAACCTAAGAACAGTAAAAGTTAAAGATTTTTTTAAATGCTTAACAAAATCAAGCCCAGTTTCCAATTATAATGACAACACTGAAAATATATGAGAATTCCATTTAAAATATTTGCCAAGCTTTGTTCTTCCTCTGAGGTTTTTCTCATATTCAGCTGCTCAAAATGCAAAAGTATTAAATTTAATTCTTAGTCAATTTGATTAAAAGTTACAGGATTTTTTTTTCTGGGTACAATAGAATGAAAACTTTGTGGCTTCTCCCCTACATTTTTCCTGTTCAGTGGCCAGAGGCAACAGACTAAAGTAGCACAAGTAAGCAAACATGGTCAGGTTCACTAATGGCTCAAGAACACACATGGGGCTGATGTTTTCTCCTGGTCTACTCAAATGGTACAAGTGTAGTGGAAGCAAATTACTGACAATATATTTATTCTGCACTTACTGGTTGGAGCAGGTAGATGAGAGATTCCTCTTGGATGATTATAATTGGCAAAGGAGTGATGCGAGTCGCTTGGAACAAGGTGCTCACGGACGCCATGATCTGGTCAAAACGCCCAGCAAGTCCTCCCATTGTCACAATCACATTGACCTGAGCAAGGCAAAGCAAAACTGGAGTCACATAGTTAAAGAATCCTATATAATAAAAGCCTAGCGACCTTACCCTAACCGGTTTGGCTCAGTGGATGGAACGTCGGCCTGCGGACTCGAGAGTCCCAGGTTCAATTCCGGTCAAGGGCATGTACCTTGGTTGCAGGCACATCCCCACTGAAGAGTGTGCAGGAGGCAGCTGATCGGTGTTTGTCTCTCATCGATGTTTCTAACTCTCTAGCTCTCTCCCTTCCTCTCTGTAAAACATCAATAAAATATATGAAAAAAAAAAAAGCCTAGCGACCAAATGGTGGAATCACCAGAATGACTGCTCGACCAGTCTCTATGACACGCACTGACCATCAGGGGGTAGACTCACCACTCAGAAGCTGCCTCCTGATGGTCAGTGTGCTCCCACAGTGGGAGCGCTGCTCAGCTGACCGGAATGAGCAGTGCTCCCACAGCGGGCTGATCCCCGCAGGCCACGTCCCCCACCAGTGCATGAATCCCGTGCACCAGGCCTCGAGTTTTAAATAACTAAATAGCATCAAACAGCTTAATAGAGCTTCTGATATTACGTGTTTATCAGATAAGCCATAAAGAATGATAGATATCATTTCTGTTGTTTAGGTGAAGGAATTAAGTTACTTGTTCAAGGTCACAGAATTGGTAAGTGGCAGAGTCAGATTTCAAGACCAACTCTTTCAAGTACAAATTTTACATTTTTCCCACCTGCCTATTCACCTGGCCAACCAGCCAACTCTTCCTTTAAAACTCTGTCCATGTGTTCCTCCTATTTGCAATCTTTCCTGATTTTGCAGCTGGTGCATCTCCCATGCACTCCCAGAGCACACCTGTGGGCACTTATTTAGTAACGCCCAGCAATGGACACTGAGCCTGCTTTACAGGTTGTCACCCCACTAGAATTCAAGTATCTTGAGGACCTGTACTGTCTCTCAACTGAACCTAGCAAGGTGCCTAAACCTCTGTACCTCATTTTTAAGTTCACATGTAAATAGTGGATTATAATGGACAATTAGTAGAGTTGTTGTGGGGATTAAATGAGGTAATTACATGAATTATAAGTGTAAAGCATTTGGAACATCCTATCTAATAAAAGTAATATGTAAATTAACCATCACTCCATGACAAAGATGGTGGCACCCATAGTGGCCCGGGTGGGACGCTAGTGCCTCATCTCACAATGTATCAGCATAGGCAGAGCTGGTAGATTGACCATGGAAAAGTAAGGACTGAAGAATTTAGTGAATATATTGCAAGAAAACCTTACATATAATAAAAACAAATAATAATAAACCATTTTATCTGAAATTAAATAGAAATGGTTTAAAAATAGGAGTATTTTAGTGGATAATTTTTCTGTGGTTCTCCCTGAAAGACAGTGTGATCACATAAGTTAACATATAAACTGAGGTACTTCTGAAAGTAAAGTGTAGATAATTACACCAAGAATACAGGCACAAACTGGGACCATCCCATGTAAACTGAGACATATTGAAAGGAGTTAAAGCAGAATTAGGTAGATAGGGTAACAGGTGGAAGAAGGAGGAATCTGTGGAGCTGAAACAAACAAAAAATGTGTTTTGTAGGAAAAAGAATAGCATAAAAACAGGATGGGTAGCAGAAAAACAGGGTGTTTTGAAACAAGGATGTTTTTCTTATAAGTGCAAAACAAAATGTTGCAAAAAGGCCAGGAACCAATCAGAGAGTAGCACAGATAGACAAAGAGTGGGCCTTTAGCAGATATAAGGGGGAGAGCAGAATGCTTGGGGGGCAACCCATCTAAATCCACTTCCCAGGCAGCCTGTGTTTGTTTGCAATAAACTGCCTTGTTTGAACTCTTCTGGTCCACAGCTTCGTTCTTCGAGTCCTTTGAGTCCGTGGGACAAGACCCCAGGAAGAATTCCTACTTGCCGGTTCCGGTATCAATATGTTTACCCTACTGTTTGATAATTACAATATTAACGAAACCAACTTAGCAAAATTCAACACTAGAATCTCAAAAAATTTAGACATTTTGTGCTACAGTTAGGCTTGAATAGAATGATGAAATTCTTTGGTCCAATTGAATGTCCGGCCCGCATGCCGTATAAGGCCCAGGAAATCACTTGGTCTGACTCTGCCAAGGCATTAGGGGTGAGTTAAATGTTTGACCAAATATAGCAGGCTAATTTTTAAGTTGATAATTTTTTATGGCCCACGAAAGATGTTATAAATGTCTAAATGGCCCTTGGCAGAAAAAAGGTTCCCACCTGTGCTCTAATTGAAAGATGGAAGACTCGATGGAGGAAACAAAGGGAAGGGCTGAATCAAGATGGAGCAAAACCAAACTGACAGAAACCAGCAATATCAGAATGTTTGAATAAGCCTATAAAATAATTTTTATGATTGATGTGAAGTACAATGAGACACCAAAGGAATTACAAACCTCAGATTTTATGGTATCGAAATATACTGTGTACTGACAAATAATATAACTTCTGCAGGATCTGGGCAGCTGGTGAAAACAATACTACAGGGATCCCACTTAAATTTCAAGCAAGCCCAATGAGTCACGGTTTAATGCAAGCCTGTTTGGGTGAGAAGTAAAGAATGCCTCTTGCATTGGCAACATAATGAGGCTTCCGTTCAGAGATGAGAGTCTAAGAAAACTCGGGATTTTTCTCAATAATTCTTACTCCACCTTCCCTGCTGCAGCTGTCACTCAGGTGAGGCCCTTCTCTCCTAGATAACCCCACGGGCCGCCTGCCTGGCCTTGGATAACCAAGTAACCTTCCAACTGATTATGAGAACTGGCTTCTGCATCTGCAATTTGATCATGCATGTTCAGCTTAAAATTAGTGCTGGCTTTCCAGAATCTACAAGAGTGAAGTCCAATGTCCTCCCACGCTGACTCCACAGTCACACCCTCAACTCTGACATCATTTACATTGCACACGTGCTTTAATTCTCAGAACACACCACAAGATGTCAGTCTGCAGAGCCTGGGCCTCCCCTGCCTTGCAAAGAGTGGAAGTACTATAGTTATTTCCAAAGGATGCTTACCTCCACCCCCTAACAAAAATGAACTTGGATGAATAGAGTGTTTTATCCAAGTCTGTCAAATTGTAAATATGTTATTAAGAAATGCCATAAACATGTTTATATATAACATGGTTTTTAACATGTTATTTTAGAGAAAAAATTTTTAAAAGGTGGAGGAAGGGACATATTTATACTGAAAACAATTTTTGCAATCCTGTTTGCATTTGAGAGAAAAGCTGTGGAAGCAATGATAAGGATCTATGCTAAGACTTGTGACTGCTATAAACCATAATTCCCAAAAAAGTTTATCCTGAAAGCCTATACCCTCATTAACCAGAGGAAACTTATTGTGTCCCTGTGTCTTTGTGGAGAGCTCAGCTGAGGGAACTCCAAATCTCCTTGTGCAAATGGGAAGGAACTTGCTGGCAGAGGTCCTGGACACACTGGTTACAAGTCCGCAGTGGAAGAAGCTAGGAGAGACACACCAAACCCATTGCAATAAGGTTGTGTGTGTGGTCCCCTCCCTACTAGTTCATTTGTTAGCTTGTTCAAGGAAACATGTAAATACTGCACTAACCAGGTGTGCACCTGTGATTAGTACTGTGCACATTGCCTGCCCCTTGACATTCCAAACCTAAGAGTTTTATCTTTAGACCTGAACACTCAGAATAAAACACTCCCCCTCATTCTGGTTAGCCCCTATTCTATCTTCCAGACAGCTCAGGCACAATGTGCACAAGGGGAGAAGGTTCGGGTCTCACCCACCCTATGAAACTTCAATTATAGCACTACTGACAACAGCATAATCTGCTTAACAAAGGCTGATGTCCACAAATTCTGACAGTCAGAAACTGCCTGACTCACTGTGTCAGTGAAGATGTATGACAGCCTATTGGGAAGGACAAAGAGATGGGGCTCCAGAGAGAGTTGACTGCCACAGCCTCTGCCAAGCTTGGTCTTTGGGGCTTACTGCAGAAACCTGGCTTATGGAAGACACCACACCACCAGGGAGGGTTGTGTAGGTGCCAGGGGACAATCATGGTTCTCTAGGGCCCTGTAGAAATTGGGTCTTGGTTTGGTCAGTATCTGGCAGTCATAGGTAATGCCTGCCTTTCCAGTCAGTGTGGCCATGGGATTTCAAGTGTCTTATTTTGTGGCATGATTTTTGTGTGACTTTTTTTTTTTTAATGGAAACTATTCCTGGGTTGCAGTAAACTTTATGAAGCCTCAGCAATGTGTTCATATTAGCCATCAGGAAGGTCTCCAACTAGACTCGCAGTGATGGCGAACCTATGACATGTGTGTCAGAGGTGACACGCGAACTCATTTTTTTGGTTGATTTTTCTTTATTAAATGGCATTTAAATATATAAAATAAATATCAAAAATATAAATCTTTGTTTTACTATGGTTGCAAATATCAAAAAATTTCTATATGTGACACGGCACCAGAGTTAAGTTAGGGTTTTTCAAAATGCTGACACGCCGAGCTCAAAAGGTTCGCCATCACTGAACTAGAAATACCTGTCCCTGCTTGCTCCTCCTCCCTGTCATCATTTAGTGTTCTTGTCAAGTTGCTCAGCTTGGAGTTGTCTGTCAGGCACCATTGTCCCATGGTTATAGCTGGAAGATGATGCTTAATTAATAGCTTGAGGAGAAGGTCTTCTTTCCTACTTCCTAGGTAAGCAGTCTGGGGAGAGCATGGGCATCTCATTTCTATGTCTATGGGTATCTGGTCCAGGTAAGATTGGGACTTAGGTAAGATTCCTTCGGGACATCCTTAATGTTTATTAGCTTCTAGCTAGTGTTGTAAGGCAAGTGCCAGAATTTGGAGATCTCAGTTCTTCTCATGGCTTTTTATTCGCCATGACTAATAAGCTTCCTAATAAATCCTTGCCAAATATATATATATGAAATAAACTGCCTGACTCAGTTTGCATTTTTCAACCTTCTATAC